GGCAAAGTCTAATCTCTAAAATCAATAGAAAAACTTTACCACTTCAATAACATGTAGAAATAATAATAGCTGAAGTATGAATGCTTTCTCTGTGCCTAGGCCTTTTTAAGTACTTGGCTTACTAAATCCTCCTTACCAACTCCATTAGGCAGGTAGTACTATTGTTTCCCCTATTAGAGAGCCAAAAAACTAAGACAAGAAATTAAGAAACTTGCTCAAGATCACATAACTAGTACAGTAACTCCCTCTCAAGTGTGTTTGGAAAGTGTGAAGTATAAAGGCCTGGGGCAAGGTGAGGAAGAGGTTGAGAGTATCTATGACAGCTCCAAACCCAAACTTAACTCACTGCCACCATATCACTTCTGACTGACCGTGAACCTACAGAGCAGAGCAGAACTGCTCCTGTGGGTTCCAAGCAACTGGTGGTTTTGAACTGCTGACCTTGCAGTTAGTAGTCCAGTGCATAACTCACCATGCCACCAAGGATTCCAGTATCGAAGATAACAGTCTAAGGAGTCTAGGTTTGTCAAACCCAGAATTATTCAGAAAAACTACGTCAGCTTCTCCTTAGGAATCACTGATTTTATTCCTGGAAACTGTTTTCCACTTGGCTGCAAACCTGCATCTGACCTACTGAGGAAATCTTCTGGTGAAACAAATTCAGAAAGCAAAGAAAGTGCTTCATTACTTTAAATAGCAGAGCCCACTATAGCCTCCAGAGTTGCCCTTCTTAGAGTTTGCTCATGCTGCCTCCTTAGTCTTTGGGAGATTAGGAGTAGACTTTTATACGTGCCTGTTGACTTTCTCATATTTTTTTGCAGAATGCATCATGTTATCTACTTGCTTTGAACCATGTATTAAAAAAATTTAAGCATAAGATGTTATCTTCATATTTTACTACTATTAAAGCAGCATTATACTGTGTATTACGATACTTTATCATCTTCTATAATTTTTCTGTGGGTCTAATATTCTTTCAATAGAGAGAACACCAACCCTCCCACCCTCTGTAAAAATAAAGGGAGGGAACAAGGAGGAGCAAGAATTTAAACAGACACTTCACCAAAGAAGATAGCCAGATAGCTAACAAACACATGAAAATATGTCATAATCCTCAGCCTTTAGAGCAGCGGTTCTCAACCTCTGGGTCACGACCCCTTTGGGGGTCAAACGACCCTTTCACAGGGGTTGCCCGATTCATAACAGTAGCAAAATGACAGTTATGAAGTAGCAACGGAAATAATTTTATGGTTGGGGGGTCACCACCACATGAGGAACTGTATTAAAAGGTCGCGGCATGAGGAAAGTTGAGAACCACTTCTTTGAGATGCCAACTGAAACTACAGTGAGATACTATCTCATTTTGACAATAATGATACTGATTTAAAAAATGCTGGCGGGGTTGTGGGGACACGGGGACTCTCGTATACTGCTGGTCTCTAAACACGAAACCCTGCTAGAGTCAATGCTGACTCATAATAATCCTGTAGGACAGGGTAGAACTGCCCTTGTCAGTTTCCAAGACAGTAACTCTTTACAGGGGTAGAAAGCCCCATCTCTCTTCCATGGAGTGGCTGGTGGTTTTATACTGCTGTCCTTATGGTTAGCAGCCCAAGGTGTAAACACTGTGCCACCACCAGGGCTATACATTGCTGGTAGGATTGCAACATGGTACAATCACTATCAAAATGGTATGGTACTTCGTCAGAGAGCTAGAAATTGGAATACTGTATGATCCAGCGATCCACTCTGAGGTATGCATCCTACAGAAATAGCAGTAACATGAACATATCTAAGAATGCCCATGTTTATTGCAGCATTATTCACAATAGCAAAAAGATGAAAGAACCTAAGTGTGCACAATGGATGAGTGAATACACAAAATGTGGTAGATAAATACAATGGAATGCTATGTAACAATAAAGAATAATGCTTCTGGGGGGCATATTATGCTGATTTTGAAAAAGTCAATCACACAAGGGCAAATATTGTATGACATCACTTTTATAGAAAGAACAGGTCTACATACCGAGAGCAACACTCTTTGATGGTTACCAGGCATGAGAGCGAGAACAACTTACTAGATAGTAGACATGTTAACACGGGTGAAGGAAAAGGCCACAAATAACATGGGCATAGTCAGCAAAATGTGACCAAAGTAAGGAAGGCTCTGAGACGGGCCTAAGAATATGGGTCAACTACAGTAAATGCTAGGAGCCCCGGTGGCGTCGTGGATTACACATGGGGCGGCGAACCTTCAGGTCAGCAGTTTGAACTCACCAGGTGCTCACCAGGAGAAGGAGTCAGCTTTCCACTCCTGTAACGATTGACTCCTCAGAAACCCACAGGGGCAACTGTCCTGTACACTTGTTACACATCAGAACTGACCAGTGGCAGTGGGTCTGTTTGCTGTGCTATGCAAATACCATAACATAAACAATTCTGATCAAGAATACTGACAACCAACAATTTGAGTATACGCAGGCAAATATGTACACTCAGATTTTTGGGTTGTTAGTACTCTTGATCAGAATTGTAAATGTTGTACCATAGATACGGGAGCTCTGTGGCATGGTAGTTACATGTTGGGCTGCAAAATGCAGGAACATCACAAGCCAATGGGTGCAAAGTCTTGTGGATCCAGTGGTGGTGAAAGCATCTCGGCGCTGCCGTGGGTCTCCACGTGGCTCCTCCATCTCGCCAAGTGTCTTGCCAGCAGGAAGGTTAAGCAGAGAAAGAGAGTGTGTGTCCTGCTTCCAGGTAGAAAGAGAGGAAGTTCCCAGAATCCTCATGAGAAGGCCACGGCCACAAGGAGGCATGATCAGCCTGTGATCTAGAATCTACTTCTACACTTATCAAGCTGACATGAAATTATGTAACCACCACACCTTTCTCCTGTGTGAGGCAGACTACCAAAAGAAACTCCACTTTTGTAAGCTGCTAAGTAACTTGCCCTTCCCTCCCTCCCATCTCAAAAAACCTGCCCGTTCTCCCTCCCCTTATGGGAAAGTCTCTGCTGATGATTAATTTTAGAATGTACTCCCATGTTCCCAGGTTCTGGACACTACAATTGATTTAGATTATTCTTCAATATATTGTTTGTTCTGATTCAATATTGTTCCCTTGGATGTTGTAATCTGAATGGTGTAGTTAATTTTGTTATGGCAACCAGGATGTTGTAATCAATGTTGGTATTGTTTCTTTTATGATAAGAAATGTACCTTGTAATGCATGCTTACTCTTCTTGAAGTTACAATTAATCCATTAATTTTGCTTCCTGCTTCGGTTCGTGCTGGATTGAACCCTAGACAGGTGATAAATGAGTTTTTCCGCCTTAATGATGGACTGAGATGTGGACTTGGGACTGCAATCAAAGAATTGCTTTTAGATTCTAGCAGTCTGGTTATAACCGAATAAAGGGTCTTCTAAATCATCAAGACATTATAGTGGCTGTCACTTATTCGAATTCACAACATGTGAAATGATTGGTGTTTTGTTTTGTTTTTTTTGCTTTGACAAGCAAAAAAATGGTGTAGTTAATTTACACCAAAAAAAAAAAATACAGCTGCACATCGGCTGTATTTGTGGAGCAAGGGTGGGGAACAGTGGGATGACCGGCCCACTACTGCGAGGAGAGACCAACCTTGTAGCTAGTAGCCAAATGCGTAACCCACTATGCCACCAGGGGTCTGTAGAACTGGGGAAGGCAATATAAAGGCATATATGTGCTTGTAAATAGAACTTAACAAAACAAATACAGCTCTTCAACCGTCAAATCACTGGCAAAAACTCCCAAAATGATAAATAAAAGCAAATAAAATGATGACTCAAGAAGGAGCACAAGGGCATCCCGACCTGGACGCTCCAGGCATATGAACAAGATTTACCTTGATAGCATTGGCCTTCACCTGAGACACTTCGGCCATCCTCTGCAGGTGCGTCAGCAACACCTGCTCACTGAGGTCATTCTCAGGCAGGAAATACTGATAGACATCGTATCGCAACCTCCACCTAGAGTCCTGGCCCGTCTCAAGGTCACATGGTGGGGGGTCTGCGCCTCTAAAGTACAAAACTGAACATAAGTCTCTTGTGGTGGAAGTCCCATGTACAGAAAGGAGCCAAAGCTCCAGTTTTGTGCTCTTGCAATAGCTGAAATTTAACAGTCATCTCTTGCAGAGCCGGGATTGGGGAGAGGCAGCGTGGCCAAATGTTCAAACTCTGATGTCAGCCAAGCCTAGTGGCAAAGGCCAGCTTTGCCATTTGTTAGAGGTGTGCAAGTGAGCAAGTCACGTACCATCAACCACCATTAGAGAATCTCTGGAAAACAAGAACCATCGCCAATTTCTCATAAAATTATGGCAGGTAAATGGCAAAGAGTAAACAGCCCTCAGTGCCACGGATGATGCACAACCAGTTGCTGTCAAGTTGATTCGGACTCAGGGCACCACCACGTATGTCTGATTAGAACTGTGCCCCACACAGTTTCCCATGGCTAATTTTTCTTCAGAAGTAGATGGCCAGGCCTTTCTTCTGCTGCACTTGTGAGTGGACTCAAACCACCAAGCTTTCAGTTAACTAAAGGAGCACTCAAATGTTAGCTATCATTAATATTAAAGTAAAAGTCAAGGCAGGGCTTTTGTCAAAATAATAAAACCCTTATAAATATACAAAAGTGTTCCAGGGTGTAGAATGCTTTCTCTATCTAAAAAAATTCTTTATAGTAAGTCCTCTAAGACTTAAGCCTCTGGGTATTCAAATAATGAAGTTCATGAAAATGGAGGTGGAAAATAATAATTGTGAATGAGAACACAGATATTAGTAATAATGTTTAAATTATACCAATTCAAAACTGATAAAAAAGACACTATTTCATTTTATTAAGCAAGACTTATAGCTTTTGCGAGAGTTCCCCAGGATCTCCATAATAGTTACTCACATATGATCAAAAACAGACATACCTTGCATAGCCTAGGTTTGCTGGGGCAAATTTGATGATCGTTTCAAAGAAATTATACTCCAAGTAAATGTTAGGATCAATATCTAAATCAAACTCTAAATTACAGCCGCCAGGAATAGGATCTAGAAAAAATAATAATAATAACAAGTTACTGGCCATAACTCTTTGAAGTCCAAATCATACTTACAAAAATAAACCAGTAAGCTTACAAGAACTTCCAGTTAAAAGTCCTCAAGACTTCTAGTCTTAACAAAAGGAGGTTAAAGTGAATAAAGTTAACTGAAGTTCAGAGTTCAAGAGCCAGGGTCAAACACAACCAGTTCTGTAAGGAAAGGAAAGATTCAAAGCTTTTTGAGTCTGGCCGTCAGTTTCAACTACTTATGGGCAGCTGTATACAATATGTAAATGAATACACATGACTGTACTCAAAAAAACTCTTTATGTACAAAGACAGGCAGAGTGCTGGATTTAGCCCCTGGTCTGTCATTGGCCAGCCACTGCTTCAGAGTAAGAAGGTAAGAAGAGATGCCTAAGCTGGAGTCTGCGAATGGGCTTCAGGATCTCCGAGGACACCCCGCAATTATGTCAAATGATTGAATTGTGCATTTCCGAGGAAGAGAAGTGTTTATTAGGTTTTGTGTCTCCAAAAAAGCGCAAGCACAAATAAATTGAAGAGAGAAACAGTGGCAAAGATAAAAGAAGCTCCTTGGGTACTAGAGAAAGGGGTGTCCATTTATCATACACTGCTTCCACCCACAGGTCTAGTCTGTGAGTATACGCAAAGAGTGAAAAAAAGAGACCCCAAGACTCCCATCATTTTATAGAAGAAGCCTGGGTATTGAATGAAAAAACAAAATAAAGCAGGAGCACTTTGTGTACATGCACAATGTAGCTAGAGCAGCTTTTCTTTTCTTGTTAGAAATCCTACCTGTGACATTTAAAAGGACGGTGAAGCCTAAAGGAGTCATTTGACATTAATTCGCTTGCCTCCACATGAAGAATTATACATGGTACACTGATGTGAAGATGTGAATGAGACAGACCAGGGTAAACCAACTTAAAGACTGCTCAGATCACAACTTTGTGCACTCATATAATCATTCCCACAGTTGGCTCTTAGTTTCCACAAATTATTGGATTTCTGATGGTTGACTTCCCCTGGCCAAAGTTGGAATGGAAAATAGGCAGTGCGGATATAAGTTCAAAATCATGTGGAATCATCTTCAAAATGCTGTGAAGCTTCTTTCACACTCCTTTTCCTGCATTTTCAAATAGCTATGGTGGCTTAGAAAATCATATGCACTCTAATTGAACCTGTGTTCATAATTTTGCTTGGTACACAGGATTCTGTGTACCAAATTAGAGATACTATGGTTTTTCCCATGTACGTATTACTTTGCTACAGATAACACTTTTGTTCCTCAAAACATTTTTGTTCCTCAACCTTCGTAACTTTTTAGGTTCTACCTCTTTTATGAGCCATTGTTCCCTCATCTTAGCTTTACCACCAGACCTTAAAAGCAGTCTAAATTTCCTCACTCATCCTCTTCAATCTCTGTATTCTAGTTATCATCCATATTGCTCCACTAAAAATGACTCTCGTGACAGGTCACCACTGACTCCTAATTGTCCTGTCGTGCAGGTAATTTCAGTCCCATCTCTTGATCTCTCTCGCTGCAGTGCACTATGTACTATTTACCACTCCTTGCTAACGCACAGCCCTGGATCACCCCTTACCATTGGTTCACTTCGTAGCCTTGGGGCTCTTCTCGGCAGTTTGTATCTCCCAAAACAGTCTCTGCCATACGGCAGGCCTACAAAAGCACCTGCTTTTACTCTTTCCCCTAAACTTATAACTAAACTCACAGACAAGCATCCATTTAGTGTTGACTCTATACCTAACTCACCCCTCCACTCCAGGTCTCTAACTTAAACTACGAGGCATTTCAATCTGGATGTCCAATGGGAATCTCAGATTAGGCCCTAATGTGAAATTGCTTGCTTCCCATACCAATTCCCCAAACATTTAGCCACCACAAGCCTGTCCCTGTGCCTGGTTGGCACAGCCTCTCCCAGCTCTGCTTCATAAGGTTTTCAGCGGCTCCTTCCTCCAAAGTGGGGAGCTGAGGCCTTCTGACGACTGATGAAAAACCGATGCAGTTCGATTGTGGTGCTGGTGAAGAACACTGAAGATACCACAGACCACTACAAGGGCACACCACTCCATCTTGGAGGAAGTTCAGCCAGAATGCTCCTTAGAAGCAAGGATGGCTTACATATTTTTGGACCTGTGGTCAGGAGACATCAGTCCCTGGGGGAGGACATCAAGCTTGGTAAAGTGGAAGGGAAGCAAGAGAGAGGAAGGCCCTCAGCAAGATGGACTGACACAGTGGCTGCAACCATGGACCTGACCACTGGAACATTGGGAGGCTGGCGCAGGGTCAGGCGACGTTTCGTTCTGGGGTACACTGGGCTGCTGTACATTGTCACTGACTCCATGCACCTCACCACAGCAACAGCATAGTCCCATTGCCCCAGCGTGAAGTCTGGGTCCCACCTAACAATTCTGCCTTCCAAACATCTCAGCCCATCCCTTCTTCTCCATCTCTCTTCTTGAGATTCAGATCTTCATTTCTCACTTTAAAAGGTGTGATGACAGCTGATTCTGCCCGACCCTTTCCAACCCACCTCATGCTGCCTTTAGAGTTTGTTTTGTGATAAAGCAGATTGCATCACTTCTCTGCTTAAAAACTCTGTGCTTCCCCTGGGAACCCACAGAACAATGAAAATCTCAGATGGTGGACAAGGTACTTCACATGCTAGTTCCATCCAAGCCCACACAATCTTCACTATCCCAATAGACCGTTCCTCTCCCACGCCTCCATGACAATGCTTCCTCTGCCTCCTAAGGCTAGGACATCAAGCTAAAGGGTTACGGATTATGTCTTCTCTTTCTGTTACTTCTCCAAGGGATCCGTAAGTGTTTTTTATAAGGAATAAATGAATTCTCTTAGTCTCTACCTAGGCTTACAGTCATCATGCTAATTCTCCATCTTACTTTTAAACCCTGATTCAATAAATTACACTTATAATAGGTGGTTTTATAATTCTCAAATTTCATCAGCATGTCCCATATTTTGCATCTTTCTAGAAAGGAATGGAGAAGTTTACTTACCTCTTTCTGAGTAGGAGAGTGGAACAGCTATATTTTGGACAGGCTCAGCATCTGCAGATTCTAAGTACCATATGCACATACTCTGCTCTGGTCTAAGAATGAATACCAGTCCTACGTCAGTACCTGTTCCTGAAGTACTGGGAAGGAGAGTCTGTAGTCAGGGGGGGAAAAAAAAAAATAATATATATATATATACACATACATACATACATATATCATGAAAGAGTTGAGCATGATATTTAAATTCCAGAGTGAGTCTAATATGCATATTTCATTCTAGATCTTCTCAAAATGAAAGGGGGGGAACCCCACAAACAAACAGACATTTCTCTTAGATAATGTAAAGTTTTTGCTTTTTTCACCTAGTCTATGTGCATGGGACCAGACATACATGCAGATGAATTGCTTAGCACGCAACCTTTGCCCAGCAACATCAGCTGCACAGCGAAATCCCCAAGCTTTTCTATTTCACAGAATTAAGATGGATGGGCTGTATCAAATATTAAGAGCCCTGGTGGTGCAGTGGATAAGGTACTCTGCTGCTAACCAAAAGGTCAGTAGTTTGAACCCACCATGTCTACCAAGATAGAGCATGAGCCTGGCCCCAAGGCAATGACATAATAAAGAAAAAATTATACTATGTGATAAGTGCTTATATATGCAGACGTCATGGAACTATCCACAGAATCACAGTAATAAGCATATGCCTCAGCCCAAAGTTTCTTTTGACTCTTTGTAATTCTTCCTCAGAAAAACCTCCCCTCTATAGCTTCCTTCCTCCATCTGCTTGAAAAATATTTCAAACAATAAAGAGCTAAGGGGTATAGGACTCAGAATAAGAAAAGGGGCCAGAGAGTTTTCCTTTCAAATTTTTATTATTATGAATAAAGTGAGGATTTATAGAGCAGATCTATCATTTTTTCCATTCAATAACTTTAAACAATTCATCAAACCTCCCTAAGACGCGCCCTCTTTCCCCATCCACCCCCTTACTTGATCTCCCACTTGTAGTATAAGGAGCCCTGGCAGTGTCGTGGTTACACATCGGGCTGTGGTCCCAAGGGCAGCAGTTCAAAGGTCACAGGCCACCCTCAGGAGACAGTACTGGAAACTCACAGGGGCAGTTCTACTGGTCTTACGGGGTCACTATGCGTCAGAATCGACTCTAGCATTGAGTATATTGTAGTGCATTATCTTCCCCTCCCTCAATTAATACCGGTCTACCCTCGAGCTTATTGCTCCTTCTTCCCTTCCACCACTGCTAACCATTATAAGTGGCTTCTTTTGGTAAGGAAAATCTTTCCTTTTTCAAAAAAAATAACAGGGGTTTCATAGAGTATGTGCCCTTTTGTGTTTGACTATCTTCATTCAGCATAATACCGGTATTGTATGAGGAACAGAAGGATTTCTCTTAAGTTGTCTCCCCAAAATATGTACCAGACTTAGCTGCTTAAGAGTGACTATACAATAGGTGATCAGCGAAAGTAGGTCAGAGGTTATTCTCCTTAACATCAGCCATCTATAGTGGCTAGACTATTAGTCTGACTCACCGTAAATAAGACCCACTCCCTTCTGATAAGGATAGTGGTGGTTTGTTTACTTGCAGGAGATACCAGAGAGGGCAAACCTGCCCAAGGATGACCAAGGTTAGATAGTCATTATCAGCTGTCTAGATCAAGCAGACACCATTGTTTATCCCACAACAAATGTGGGCACACCCCTAGGTCATCCCCCTCCTATTGATTGTATTGCCTATGTCGTTACCCCTCCCTGTGACTCAGGTTATTGTCTGCTATCAGGGGACTTGCATGCCTCCCAGAATAGTAGTTGTCTGTTTTATTATATGAGACATCAGAGTGATCAAACTTGTTCTAGAATGAATTGTATTGCCCCTTTCTGTGATGTATGACTCTGTAATCAGATCCCCCTAAAGAGATATGATGCGTGACTAGCAATAAATAATGAGGCTCCCTGGTTCTCGGGAGGGTGGCTGGAGAAGGTGACTAAGGAGGACGAAGCAGTGGCTTCTTCTCTGACGACTAAGCCCCCTCCACGAGGACCATCAAGCCTAGCTGAGGTGAGCAATGCTACCATGAATTGCGTCTGACTCCATTACTTGACTCCATCCTTAACTCTCATGCTATGACTTTACTATAATCTCTACTTATTATCGCTGTACAATTGCGCCTACCGAACCTGTGATGTTTTGTGGGGTCCCCTCTTCCCTTTAACCCCACAGTATTGTCCAAATCCATCTGTCATGCGGTGTTCGTTTTATTCTTCTTTAATGATCGTAGTATTCCACTGTACAAACGTATGTACCTAAGTTTATGTATCCATTCTCCCACCGGTGGACACTGAAGTTGTTTCCATCTTCTTGCTACTCTGAGTAGTGAGCGCTGTGATAAGCATGGGTGTACACAGAGCTGTTCACGCTGTGCTCCTTATTTCTGTAGGGAATATAGCAAGGAACACAATTGCTGAGTCATGGGGTGTTTCTATTCTGAGCTGCTGGAGGAAACTGCATACTGCCTTCTACAATAGTTGTGCAGTTTTAGTCTTTCCAACAATTTATGAGGGTTCCCGTCTATGCACACTTCCTCTAGTTCCTTTAGTCTTGTTTTGTTTTCAGTTCTGTGGTGAAGTGGTATCTCATCATTGTTTTGACTTGCACCTCTCAGAAAGCAAATGACCTTGAGCATTTCTGTATGTCTGTTAGCTACTTGAATGTCTTCTTCGGTAAACTCTTTGTTCACATCCTCCACTCATTTTTTAATTGGGCGATCCACCTTTTTCTTGCTGAGGTGTTACCGTTTTCTATAGATTTTTTTGCCTTTTAATGTTTTTTACAATATGCCACTGCCAATAATGTGTTCCCAGTCTGTGAATTTTCTTTTAGTGAAATTGCCTGGTGCACGTTTTCTTATTTTTAGAAAGTCCCAGTCTTAGACTCTGTCTTCTGTTGTGCATGTATGTTTCCATGTTTGAGCGTGTGTTTGAACCGTGAATTAGGGCCCCTACGCTTATGCCTATTTTTTCATTGATGGTTTTTATCATTCTGGGGTTTATATTCAGGTTTTAATCCATCATAAGTTGTTTATGTATATGGTAGTAAGGTATGGGTCTTGCAAATAGAATCCAATTTTGCCTCACTCATTATTAAAGAGGTATTTTTTACTGTCCTTTGTCAAAAAATTAGTTTTCTGAAGGTAGATGGATTTATTTCTGGGTTCTCTATTTTGTTCCGCGGTCTACATATTTCTCATTGTACCAGTACTAGCCTGGTTTGACTATCATGGTTGTGTGGCAAGTTTTGAGAATGGAAAATCTTTTGAGGTGCTTTGCTTATCCTGGGTGATTAGCTTTTTCATCTCTTTAGAGAATGATTTTGGGATCTAGATCAAGAAATACATTATAACACAGGGCTTTTTACTCCTATAAACAATTATAGGCTGAGAAACCCATAGGGGCACTTCTACCCTACCCTATAGCATTGCTATGATTTGGAATCAAGTCAATGGCAGGGAGTTTTAGATTCTGGGTTTGAGTTTTGTATAGTATTGACATTTTTACAATGTTAAGCCTTCCTATCCAGGAACATGGTATCTTATTCCATTTATGTGGGTCTCTTGGGTTTTTGTAATGTTCTTTGTACAAGTCTTTTGTTTCTCTGGTTAGATTTCCTAAGTATTGCATCTTTCAGGAAGCTATTGCAAACGGTATTGTTTTCTTGATTTCTTTTTCAGAGCTTTATTTGTTAATATATAGGAATCCATTGGTTTTTATATAAGGATCATGTATCCTGCCACATTGTAGAGTCTACCCATTAGTTCCAACAAGGTCTTGTGAGTCTTTGGAGTTTTCTACTTATAGAATCAGATCATCTACACAGGTTTACTTCTTTGCCAATTTAGATGCCTTTGATTTCTTTTTGTTGTCTAATAGCTAACAGACTTCTAGCACAACATTGAACAAGAGTGGTATTAAAGGGAATCATTGTATTCTCATTCACAAAGGGAATGCTTTCAGTATCCCCCCATTTAGTGACAATATTGGCCATTGGTTTTGCACAAATCCCCTTTATTATGTTAAGGAATTGCCTTTCTATTCTTATTTTGTTGAATGTTTTTATCAGGAATGGGTGTTAGCTTTTGTCAAATGCCTTATCTGCATCAATTGATATGATCATGTGGCTTTTTTTCCCCTTCACTAACATGGTAGATTACATTGACTGTTTTTGTAATGTTGAAGAACCATCCTTACAACACCTGGAATGAATCTCACTTGGTCATGGTGTGTTTTATTATTATTATTATTATTATTTCTGCTGGCTAAGGTTCTGTTGAGAATTTCTGCAGCTATGCATATAAGGGAAGCTAGTCTGTACTTTTCTACTCTGGTGATGTCTTTTCCAGGTCAGTACAAGCACGATGCTTGCCCATAAAATGAATGTAGGACTTTGCCACACTGTTTACATTCTACAATAGTCTGAGTAGAATTGGTGCCAGCTCTTCTTTAGTCTTTGTAGGATTTCCCAGTGAAGCCATCTGACCCTGGAATTTTTTTTGGTGGGGGGGTTTTAATGACCAGTTCAGTCCTTCTTTGTGATGGGTCTGTTCAGTGTTCTTACATGTGTCGGTCTTAGGTAGGTAATGTGTTTCTAGAAATTTGCCCAGTTCTTCTAAGTTTCCAAATTTGCTGGTACATCACAGTATTGTTTTATTTTTTTAACTTCAGTTCATTCTGTTGTGGTGTCATGATGGCATCCATTTTGATTCTTAGTCATAATATCTGCATCTTGTTTTTCTTTTCCTTCATTTGGTTTGCCAGTGCTGTCAATTTTGTTAATCATTTCAAAGACCCAACTTCTACTCTATTGATTATTGCTTTTGTTGTCTGTCCATTTATTTCTGCTCTAATCTTTATTAACATGAGGTATAATGTACATTTCTTTAACTTCTTTCTTTATTAACATGAGGTACAATGTACATTTCTTTAATTTCTTTACTAACACGAGGTACAATGTACATTTCTTTAATTTCTTTCTTTATTAACACGAGGTACAATGTACATTTCTTTAATTTCTTTATTAACATGAGGTACAATGTACATTTCTTTAATTTGTTTCTTTATTAACACGAGGTACAATGTACATTTCTTTAATTTCTTCCAGGTTTCTTCTGGAACATAGCAAGTAAAAGTCATCAAGGTCCCACTAGATCATTGGTTCCCAAATATATTGGGGGAGAAATTACCTGGTGGCCCCCTAACAATTAAAAACTTTTGTAGTATAGCCTACAATCCAGGATAAAGTATAGAAATCTGCTTTTGCAGTACCCTCCTAAGCCATTCCAATATCCCTCAAGAGGCAAAATCACCCACTTTGGGAAACACTATACTACAGTTTAAAAAAAATAAAAACTAAAGGAAATGATAAAGAAAGCTTAAACTGAGATGAGACAGCACAGAGGACAGTTCCCCCAAACCCAGCACTACTAATCCCTCTTTAAATCAGAGGCTGTTGTGCTCAAGGGAGCCCCCAGTCTCAACAGTTAACTTAGCAAAGCAAAAATCTTTTTTGTTGTTTAAAGATTTGAGTCTTAAACATAAACAATGTTTATACCAAATACAAGTCCCAAATATATGGAAATAAGTCTTTGTATTTACCTTAGAAAAAGACACCGTTGTATTCTGATACTGCGAATGTATTTGAAAAATAAGAAAAGTTGCGTTGATGGAAATGTGACGCAAAATAGCTTCCTCTGGGAAGGGCCTGCTGAGCTTGAAGTATGTAAATTTTCCCAAAGAAAATTCAAGAAGACCTGTAAAGGAAGAAGTTTTTTCATTATGACATTTGTACCTATAACTGTGATGTGTAGAAACCACATGGGTACACACACATTTAATCCCTAGAAAACCACCTGAAGTAAATATTAGGCCTACCCCTATATTTTATATACAGTTGAGGATGTAAATCCTAAAGAGGTGAAGCATCCCACCCAGTCACTCAGCTAGTGGAACTGTAAACTAATGAGAAAACGTAGTAAAAAGAAATGAACATTTTCAGCAATGAGGGCCCTCAGGGTGCCCAGCAGTCAGGTCCAGAAATGTCCCCACTCTGGTAGCACACAGCACAATTCTATTCAAAGCAATGTCTGCCAATATAAGGACTACCACCCCACAGGGGCTATCATCAATCAGGACTGGCATTAAAGATCAATGCTGGTATTAAAGATACTTGCAGTATCTTATAGTAAATTCTGAGTCAGCACAGACTGGAGAGATTGAGCTAGCTGCCAATTCCAACCCTCCATGTACCAGCTGGGCAAATGACTTAACTCCCTTGAGCATCACTTGTCTCATTAGTCAAATGTGGATTGTATTACCTAGCAGGCTAGAATGACCATCAGCATTAGACTGTGCCTGTGTCAGGTGCTTTACAAACAGTCATGAACCACAGGCATGTGGGAAAAGGATTTTTTTAAAAAGGGATTCAAGTTCAAAATCCACATGAAAGTGAGTGTATAACAAGAACAGTTTTCAACACCTCATCCAGTTCTCTCCCATTTGGAGACTGGCTGCCTTGGTCTGGTTGTGTTTCACTCACTTACCCAATGTGTGCATGATTGTGTTTTTTTTTCCTCAACTGCACATCCGTATTTTCATTTTCCAACCTCATTCTCAATTCATTCAGTGAGAATGTTTTTCCCTGTGTTATCCTGGATTACCCACTGCACCCGATCCTTAGCCTAGTTAGTACATCTCTGCATAAAAAGCACAAGAACTCCTAGCATTACTGCATAAGCACCATCAGGGATGCAAACCTAAAACAAACAAAACAACTATTAGAATCTAATACGAATGGAAAGGTGTTGATAAAGGAAAGGTTATAATTCACCCAAGTCCCATAGTGAAACTATCATGTTTCATTTTAGAAGAAAATTAGAGCTAGTAGGTGATAACAGAAAACCCTCCACAGAATAAATAGTTTAATACTATCTGGATGATTAAAAAAAGTGGGGAGGGCTGTTAGGAATGGTCAAATTGAGGGAAGAAAGCCGAACAAAACCCATTGTATTAGTCTAGGTACTTTGGAGAAACAAATCCACAGCAACTCACGTATAAGAGAGAGTTTTATGTAAAGAAAAGGTGCATCACGAAAACATCCCAACCCAATGCTGCCCAAGCCCACAAGTCCAATATTAACCCTTTACCCCAACACCAGTCCACAAAGTCCTCCACCTCACAAAACAGAGGCAATGATGCCGACTGCAGGAGGAAAGCTGAGTCCGTGAATGTGTAAGCATCTCAGCACTGGCAAGGGTCTCCACACGGCTGCTCCAGCACCCAGGGCTGCATCGGGATAGATCCATGCGGCTTCTCCTTGGGGATGTCTTGTAGGAAATCCATCTTGCAAGCTGAAGCAGAGAACTGCTAAGGCAGCTGCACCCGATGCAACCATCACAAAACAAGAGACCCGAGAACTAGAAAGGCGAGGCTTCACCACCCATTTATCCCTCTGCCTTTCAACCAGCACCACATGTGATTATCGGCCAGGCTGGCACAATTAACTAACTCACCCATCAATAGTGAAAGAATCAGAATAATGGTTAGTTGTTACAATCCCCCCCACCAAAAAAACCCTGTGAAGTTAATTGTTACATTCATGATATAAGGTTTTTGAAAGTTGGCCGTGTAAAATACATATTGGCAGTAACAATTTAATTTCTAAAAGCCCAGACAGAATTCTAATGGTTGTGACAAGGATAAATGAAGATGGTACTTCTCCCTTTTTTTGGCAACCAGCACAAAGCTCCAGTCAAAACAGGCAGAGTGTTGGGGTAACAGAATATGGGTGGGGGCGCCTAGAAATTGTGCTATTTGAGAGGTTTTGTATTTGTTTAATACAATAAATAGTTTTATATTTTTTCATTTTTCCAATCATCGTGATTATCTCAGGGAGTCAAATTATACATAAATTTAAACGGATGTCAGTAAATAGCACTAAAAATGTTTCATATATTGCACTTAAATTTGGTCTCATCTATCCTCTATACTCCATGTCTTAAAACTATCCACACCCCACTCCCGGTACCAAAAAAAACCAAAAAACTAACCACAAATTCTAGCCTGTCCCATTAAGACCAGTCTGTTTTTCTGGAAATCAGATGTTTTCCTTCCTTTAATTGTCCAAAGACTTCATATTCAACTCAGTTGCGATCCTGACTTTTCTAATTCATACCATTTTCCCCCTTTTCTCCATATCCCCTACTCAATAAATAAGAGTATTTATTGCACACTTATGGATCAGTCACTGGCTCTTGGGTATCCTGAAGCACCTGGCACACGTCAGCTCATCACGGCAGTCAACCCACCCCTGCCATGGAGTCATTCAGAGTGATCCTGCAGAGCAGAGACGGGCAGCTCCTTGACGTTTCTGAGGCTGTATAGAGACAGGCAGCCTCGTCTTTTTCAGCTAGAGCAGCAGGTGGGTTCACACCTCCAACTAATATTTGGCAACCCAATACCTACCCCAGATTAGCCAACACTTAAATAATTGTCACAACTTTGCCCTGAAGCACCATGTTGTCCTGTTTTGATAATCCTATCTCTCACAACATTGCTCTTTAATCAAATGCCACACCAATGTCTTTAAAAGCCCTGAAAATGGGATGCAGCCATCAACTAGTGATGTCTTTGTGATAAACGTCTTAATCTTCCCTTAACTTAGCAACACTTGGAAGACCTGATGCGAAAGAGTGGGGTGGGGTTGAAACCCACAGCCCATCTGTAGACAATTGGACATCCCCTCACAGAAGGGTCACAAGGAAGGAACAAGTCAGCCAGGGTGCAGTAAAGCACTGATGAAAAACACAACATTCCTCTAGTTCTTTAATGTCCCGTCCCCCCCCATCATGACCCAGTTCAACCTTACAAATCCAGCTAAACCAGACATATACACTGGTACTGATAAGAGCTCACAACACATGGAATCCAGGACAGATAAACCCCTCAAGAACAGTAATGGGAGTAGCAATACCATGAGGGTAGGGGAAAGGTTGGGGGAAACAGTGGAAAAAGGGGGAACCGATCACAATGATCAACATATACCACCACCACCCCCCACCACCCCTGACGAACAACAGAAATGTGGGTGAAGGGAGACAGCAGACGGTGTAAGATATAAAAATAACAATTATTTATAATTTATCAAGGTTTCACAAGAGTGGGAGGGTGGAGGAGAG